GAGGTGGGAGGGACAGTGAGGAAACAAAGGTTCCCAGGGCCACATGCCCAGACTGTGAGAGACAGTGGGACCTGCAGGGTCAGGACAGGACAGGGGAGGTGTTGGAGGAACCAGCTCTGCAGCCCACAGCGTGTCCTTCTCTCCAGGTGTGTCTAGGAAGCCCTCCCTGCTCAGCCCGCAGGGCCTTGTCCTGGCCCCTGGACAGAACCTGACCCTCCAGTGTCGCTCTGATGTCGGCTATGACAGATTCGCTCTGTCCCAGGAGGGGGGACGTGGCCTCCCCCAGCACCCTGGCCAGCAGCCCCAGACTGGGCTGTCTCAGGCCGAATTCCCCCTGGGCCCTGTGAGCGGCTCCCACGGGGGCCAGTACAGATGCTACGGTGGACACAACCTCTCCTCCGAGTGGTCGGCCCCCAGCAACCCCCTGGACATCCTGATCGCAGGTGAGGAGCCCAGCAGGGTCAGTCAGGAACCCACACTCTGCACAGGCCCTGCCAGGGGAGCCCCAGGGAGTGTTGGCCAGATGAGGGGTAGGGGTCTTAGGGAGGGAGGGACAGAGAGAGACAGGGGTGACAAGGGAGGGGGAGACTTAGAGATCACAGACACGGACAGAGACTGAGGGTCCTCAGAGAGAGGCCCTGGGGTGGTGTCAGCTCAGAACGAGTTGGGGGCTGCCCCCACCCCTCCTTCCTCTCTCTAGGACAGATCCCTGACAGACCCTCCTTATCGGCACAGCCGGGCCCCATGGTGGCCTCGGGCGAGGACGTGACCCTGCTGTGTCAGTCATTGAGGAGGATGGACACTTTCCTTCTGACCAAGGAGGGGGCAGCCGATCCCCCCCTGCGTCTCAGATCAGAGTCCAGAGCTCAACAGTACCAGGCTGAATTCTCCATGAGTCCTGTGACCTCAGCCCACGGGGGCACCTACAGGTGCTACGGCTCACTCAACACCTCCCCCTACCTGTTGTCACTGCCCAGTGACCCCCTGGAGCTCGTGGTCTCAGGTGACGACCCCAACCCCATCCTCCCTAAGCTCAAAGGGTCAGCTCAGGGCCCTGCCCCAGGTGAGTTCTGGGACAAGAAGTGAGGGGGAGAAGAGGGTGGACCCCAGGGGAGGGTCCTGCCATGAGAGGTGGAAATAGCCAGGACCCCCTATCCCTGGGCACCCACCCCTGAAGTCTCAGTCAGGGTGCAGGGCAGGGAGGGTGGAATGAGTCCTGGGTGGACCTCAGAGGAAACGTGATGAGACTGAGGGTAGAGGACAGAGGCCCCACCCACCCACCTCCTGATGTCTCCTTCTCAGAATCAGAACCTCCGAGTGTCCCAGCCCCTCACCCCCAGGTCCTGACCCAGTGGCTGAAGGAAGCAGTTACCCTGATCCCAGAGGATCTTCCATACTCATCTCAATCCTATGCCCAATATTGAGGGGAGGGGTCTGCTCCCCAGAGGACCAGGGAGCAGGGTGGACATTAAGGTGGGTCCACGGGGCTTCTGGGGCTGGGGCAGCTGTGACATCTGTGGTGGTCAGAAGGGAGGGGCGTGTCCGAGGACCAGGCAAGAAGGAGGGACCAGAGCTCAGGGGTGGAGGGGCTCAGTCTCCCCCGCTCCCTGAGCAGGACACCCAGGAGCCATCTCGACTCACCAGGGAGCCAGGACCAGGGGAAGGAACAAGGCAGGTGCTTAGTCCAGGAGTCGGGTGGGAGGAAGACTGGGAGACGGGTGGGGTCTGCGTTGGCTCAGCCTCTCCTTGGGAGGAGGAACTTCTGAGAAAGCCTTTTCCCCTCTTGCCCTGGGTTCCCCTCTGAATCAGGGGGAGCTACTCGGGAGTGTCCTCCAAAGACCCTTCAGTTCTGACCCCCTGGGGCATCTGGGATGTGGCTGATCCTAGACCTGCTCCCCTTTCCAGCCCTCTCTGGGTCTGTCCTGCTTCTCCCAGGAACTGAGACGTGTCAGGGTTTAAAAACCGAGGAAGACAGGGGCAGGTGCATGTGGTTTGTGTTCATTAGTGTTGGAATTTTCATCTTAATATGAGGAAGCCACATACTATGGAAGTAGCAAAGATTTATAAAACTCCAGTGGTTTAGAATCACCTCTCCCTCATGTATCACACAGCATCTCTCATATTTTCTACTAAATCCACACCCATGCAGCTCTTCATGACACCCAGGCGCCTCACCTGTCTGGGACGATGTGCAGGGAGCATAAGGAGGAGAAGGGGCCGGGTCCGCACAGTTTGCTGTCCAGGCCAGACTTCGAAACAGGGAAGATGCCGGGGCTGATGGAGAAGGAGGACAGGCTGGGTCTGTTAGAGAGAGGACAGACAGATTGCAACATGCTACCCCTATTCCTAATTCCCAAGAGACCCCGAGGATGGAGCCCCTCACCCACACATGTGGGGTCTCTGATCCCTCTCAGGACAGGAGGCTGCTCAGGTCTGGGTGGGATCTCACTGTGGTGAGGGTGGAGCCCACACCAGACACGCTCCTTCAGAGAGAGGCTCCCCAGGCTGCGGGTACCACTGGGCACGGCCCCTCCTGTGCTCCCCTGGTGGCCTCTGTGCTCAGTGCACACCTGAGACTAAGGAAGGACCTGCACCTGCTCACTGGGGCAAGTTGGGGAATCATTGTGCAGCACGTCTTGTGTGTAATTCATTTCTACT